CCCCTCTTCAGCCCTCTGACTAATACTTTTAGTAACTCCACACCTCCTCCTAATTTCCACATTATGACTTCTCTGCATAATATTTACACCCACATTGCCCTTAGACATGTCATCCCCATTGCCTCCAGTCACCTCCTCGCTGCAGCATTTACAACCCATGTTTCACACCCATAAAAGAGTGTTGGTACCACTGTACTCTTGTACATTCCCTTCTTTGCCTCCATGGATAATGTTCTTTGTCTCCACAGATACCTCAATGCACCACTCACCTTTTTCCTTCATCAGTTCTATGGTTTACCTTATTTTTATTATTTTTTGTTATTATCACACTGGCCGATTCCCACCAAGGCAGGGTGGCCCGAAAAAGAAAAACTTTCACCATCATTCACTCCATCACTGTCTTGCCAGAAGGGTGCTTTACACTACAGTTTTTAAACTGCAACATTAACACCCCTCCTTCAGAGTGCAGGCACTGTACTTCCCATCTCCAGGACTCAAGTCCGGCCTGCCGGTTTCCCTGAACCCCTTCATAAATGTTACTTTGCTCACACTCCAACAGCACGTCAAGTATTAAAAACCATTTGTCTCCATTCACTCCTATCAAACACGTTCATGCATACCTGCTGGAAGTCCAAGCCCTCGCACACAAAACCTCCTTTACCCCCTCTCTCCAACCTTTCCTAGGCCGACCCTACCCCGCCTTCCTTCCACTACAGACTGATACACTCTTGAAGTCATTCTGTTTCGCTCCATTCTCTTACATGTCCAAACCACCTCAACAACCCTTCCTCAGCCCTCTGGACAACAGTTTTGGTAATCCCCCACCTCCTCCTAACTTCCAAACTACGAATTCTCTGCATTATATTCACACCACACATTGCCCTCAGACATGACATCTCCACTGCCTCCAGCCTTCTCCTCGCTGCAACATTCATCACCCATGTTTCACACCAATATAAGAGCGTTGGTAAAACTATACTCTCATACATTCCCCTCTTTGCCTCCAAGGACAAAGTTCTTTGTCTCCACAGACTCCTAAGTGCACCACTCACTCTTTTTCCCTCATCAATTCTATGATTCACCTCATCTTTCATAGACCCATCCGCTGACACGTCCACTCCCAAATATCTGAATACATTCACCACTCCATACTCTCTCCCTCCAATCTGATATTCAATCTTTCATCACCTAATCTTTTTGTTATCCTCATAAACCTTACTCTTTCTCGTATTCACCTTTAATTTTTTCTTTTGCACACCCTACCAAATTCATCCACCAATCTCTGCAACTTCTCTTCAGAATCTCCCAAGAGCACAGTGTCATCAGCAAAGAGCAGCTGTGACAACTCCCACTTGTGTGTGATTCTTTATCTTTTAACTCCACGCCTCTTGTCAAGACCCTCGCATTTACTTCTCTTACAACCCCATCTATAAATATATTAAACAACCACGGTGACATCACACATCCTTGTCTAAGGCCTACTTTTACTGGGAAATAATTTCCCTCTTTCCTACATACTCTAACTTGAGCCTCACTATCCCGTAAAAACTCTTCACTGCTTTCAGTAACCTACCTCCTACACCATACACTTGCAACATCTGCCACATTGCCCCCCTATCCACCCTGTCATACGCCTTTTCCAAATCCATAAATGCCACAAAGACCTCTTTAGCCTTATCTAAATACTGTTCACTTATATGTTTCACTGTAAACACCTGATCCACACCCCCTACCTTTCCTAAAGCCTCCTTGTTCATCTGCTATCCTATTCTCCGTCTTACTCTTAATTCTTTCATAATAACTCTACCATACACTTTACCAGGTATACTCAGCAGACTTATCCCCCTATAATTTTGCACTCTCTTTTATCCCCTTTGCCTTTATACAAAGGAACTATGCATGCTCTCTGCCAATCCCTAGGTACCTTACCCTCTTCTATACATTTATTAAATAATTGCACCAACCACTCCAAAACATATCCCCACCTGCTTTTAACATTTCTATCTTTATCCCATCAATCCCGGCTGCCTTACCCCCTTTCATTTACCTACTGCCTCACGAACTTCCCCCACACTCACAACTGGCTCTTCCTCACTCCTACAAGATGTTATTCCCCTTCCTTGCCCTATACACAAATCACAGCTTCCCTATTTTCACAACTTTTTAACAATTCCTCAAAATATTCCCTCCATTTTTCCAATACCTCTAACTCCCTTTTAAATAACTCCCCTCCTTTTTTTTAACTACAAAATTTGTTCTCTAGGCTTTCAAACTTTTAATCTCACTCCAAAACTTTTTCTTATTTTCAAAAAAATTTTGTTGATAAATCTCACCCACTCTCTCATTTGCTCTCTTTTTACATTGCTTCCCCATCTTTTAACCTCTCTCTTTTTTCCCATATCCCTTTCCCCCTTTGCATCACTTCTACTTTGTAAAAACTTCTCAATGCAATTTTTTTTCCCCCTTTACTACTCCTTTACATCATCATTCCACCAATCGCCCTCTCCCCCCGCACCCACTTTCCTGAAAACCAAAACTTCTGCAAACACTCTAACACTACTTTTTTAAACCAACCCCATACCTTTTCGACCCCATTCCTATGCTCTCATTAGCCCATCTACCCTCCAATACTGTTTATATCTCCCCTAACTGCCTCCTCTTTTAGTTTAAAAACCCTTTCACCTCTCTCTCCCTGATGCTTCTATTCTCCTTGTATCCCTCTACCTTTTACTCTCGTGTACTACAACTAGAAAGTGATTGATATATCGTGGCCCCCTCTATAAACATTACATCCTGAAGTCCTCCAACAATCTTTTACTACCAATCAAAAACCAACAAACTACGTCATTTCGCCCTACCATATCTTGTATACTTTTTATCCTCTTTTTCTTAAAATATTTTTACCTATTACAAACCCCCCTCTAAAAAAGTTCAATCAAAGGGTTTCCCATTATCATTTACACCGGGCCCCCCAAACTTACCTACCACACCCTCTAAAAAAATTTTCCCCTACTTTACTTTCAGGTACCCTACCACAAATTACTCCTCCCCGGGTTAAAAGGGCTCCTAACATTCACTTAACACTCCCAAAAATCTCTCTCTCTCCTCTGCATTCCTCTCTTCTCCAGGTGCATACACCTTTTATTATGCCCACCCTCGCATCCAACCTTTGCTTTAACCCACAAATTTTTTAATTTTACACATTCATATTCTCTTTTCCCCTTCCATAACTGATCATTTAACATTACTGCTACCCCTTCCTTTGCTCAACTCCCAGAACTCCAGATTTAAATCCCATTTATTTCCCCCCCCACTGAACCTCCTACCCCCTTCAGCTTTGTTTCGCTTAGGGCCAGGACATCCAATTTCTTTTCATTCAAAACATCAGAAATCATCTGTTTTTACACAAAAACCCCACAAAAAAGAAAGCTTACAAGATTTTTCGGTCCGACTTGGACCATGACAAAGTCACCAAACAGGGGGACAGGACGGCTAATAAGGCGGGAAAGGTGGAGGTAGTAGTAGAGTAGTATAGTAGTACAAAAATTTTGTATATAATACCGAAATGAAATGACACTGCAAACCCCCCGGGCACCCCCACCGTAGACGTTTCGCATCCACACCCTGGATGGCAAAACGTCCCCCAAAAGACAACCAGACGCCGCCATGTCTTAATTTCAATAGTTGTTAGAAAAGAAAGAGGTAGCAGAGGGGCTGGGTAGAAGGGGGAAAAAAGGAAGACCACCATCAAATCAAAGGAAGGGGGGCACGCAAGAGAGCTAGAAACCCACAGAGGAGAGCAAGCGCACCGAGGGCGTGAAAGGGAAAGGGGGAAAAAAATAAATGAAGAAGGAACAAAACACGGCAGGAGAGAAAAGAAAATACTACTACTACTACTACCCCCACCTTTCCCGCCAATATAGCCCCCCCCCCTCTCCACCTCGTTAGTGTGACTTTGTCAATGGGCCAATCGACCGAAACGCGTCTAACTTCTCTCTTTTATTGCGGGTTATTTGTGTATCGTTTCCAGTCACGGTATTGTGCCTTTTTTTATTTTTTCGTTTCCCTTTTCATCCCACTACATCCACGCCATTTAAGCACCCCTTTTTTAAAGTTTTTCTTCTTCTCTTTTTTAAGTTCACAGGGAAGGGGGTTTCTACCCATTTCTCCTGGCATTTTTTCCCTCAAACCACGCATGGCTTACAGAGGAAAGATTCTTACCTACCTCATAAACCCCTCCGCGACAATCTCCCCAAATATCTGAAAACATTTAGGTCACTACGGGAAGGACACTGAAAAATTTTTCAGGAGAAAATAAGCAGGGTTTTTTCCCGTGGGGAGTGGAGAACAACATACGTCATTGTGATAAGTTCCCGCTATTTTGGTTGGAAAAATGAAGAACTCAAAAAAACACTTAACAAAACTCCAAAAGGGGTTTACCAAAAAAAACAAAAGGAACACAAAAAATCTGAGAATCACACAAATACCTTTCCCCTTTTTAAAAACCATAATAAACAAAGATCACAACACCAGGGAAATGACAGGGGGCTTTTTAGAGCTTTCAAAAAAAGAGAAAAAAAGCTGATGGTGACACTCTTCAAAAACGCTGTGCTCCCTCATTTTAGAATATTTTCCCGTGCTGATGGCCCCATTCAAAGCGAGAAAAATCGAGCGGAATAAAACAGAGATTGTTTACAGTTCACATTGAGCCGTAAAGCACCTAAATTACGGGAACCATTCCAAATCTTAATTGTATCATTGGAGGAGAGGGAGAGAGAACATGATAATACAAACCTCTCCTCACTTAATGATGGGGTTCCATTCCTAAGACCACATTGTTAAACGAATTCGTTGCTAAGTGAGGAGCATACTATAATGGTAGTGAGTTTGTGTCAGCCATCTTTGATATTGTTTTAATGTCACCGTTGCACCATTTATAACATTTCTGGTATATTTTTAAATGTTTATACAGTAGTGTACTGTATATTGAAATAAACAGAATGGAGGAAATCCACTTTAATGTGTATTATTTGGGTATGAATACTTGTCAGAGAGCCTGTCACAAGTCTGAGGCGTCAGTAAACAAGCACGTCGCTAAGTGAGGAGAGGCTGTATATACCTGGAAAGTACTCGAGGGTGGCCAGGTCCCATATCTGCACACTGCCATAACAACATACTGGAGTGAGAGACATGGGAGGAAGTGTAAAATAAACCCAGTGAGGAACATGGGTGCTGTGTGGACAATAAAAGAACACTGTATCAATATCTGGGGTCCTAAACTATTCAACACCTTACCAGAAGATATCAGAAACACGGCTGGAACAAGTGTAGAAACCTTCAAGAGGAAGCTGGACAAGTATCTTCACCAGGTGCCAGATCAACCAGTCTGTGATGGATATGTGGGGCAGCGGGCCTTCAGCAGCAACAACCTGGTTGACCAGGCAAGCATCAGACAAGCCTGGCTTATAGCCGGGCTCTGAGAGTAGTGAAGCTCTCAGAACTCTGTATTCACTTTCAACTTTCAACCTTTACACACAGCTCTTTATGGATGCAACTTGTGATGTTTTCACTTAATGAAAATATCATTTCTTGGATATAAAATTAATACATTTTCAGAGTGCCTGCTTGTAATGTTTACTTGTGCACATTGTGTTAAATACCCAGATACTATTGTAACCTACTTTTTTCAGAATTGGTACAATGAGATTAACAAATGGTTAAAAGGGCAACTCAGTTCTTTAGCCATTGACTCGGGCACTAAGAACCAAATTGATTCAAACCTCAAAGGATTTATGGCAACTTTTGGCCGGCGTCCTGTCAATCCTGTATTAATAATATCCTACGAAACATTCCGGATGCATGCTCATGCACTGCAGCAAGGTGAAGTTGGTCTCGTGCTTTGTGATGAGGTAAGATTGTAAACAGATTTTTATTTTACATGTGACAGTAATTTATCTGAAAGTGTGATTTTCTTATTCCATTATTTTGTGACTTAGTAAATGCAGTTGGATGTAAATTATCCAGTGATCATTCATTTGAAAACAATGACCTAATGTAAGAATTATCTGCCTTCTGTTTATGTACCATTAACCAAATATACGATGTTTTAACGAAAGGCATAAAAAATGATCCCGCTGTTTTAGGTATAAGATTAAAAAATATATAGAATTCTTTTTGGTCAGTAGGTAGTTTAGAAAGACACATTGTTTGAGGCACGTAAGTTCCTCCGTCTGGTATTTCTTAGCTATTTTTTTGCTTGAATTAGAGTAAGTACGTAACCCTTCTGGAAACATGGTTAGGGAGATAAATAAAAGATATAATAAATCTAGTAAATAGTAGGTATACTTGCTGCTGCAACTACAACAGTATTGTGATACAGCTTTAAACTTAGTAGTAGCAGCACACACGCTTTGCTTTACAGCCTCATAAAATGTTCTTAGTGACTATATACATGACATCTGGAATACAAGGCTTTATTTAAAAAGTTATTGATCTTTTTTTTTTTTTTTTTTTTTACACAATTGCCATCTCCTGCCAAGGGATAATGATCCAAAGAAGGAAACATTTCTTCTTCTTCTTTCAACAAACCGGCTGTTTTTTGGTTTTACAATTCAGATTATCCTAAAAATTGCAACATCCTCACCTTATCCTCATCTTATAATGTAAAATGATATAAAATTGGTTTGGTTGAGTTAAGTACAGTTGCCATGGTCCTGGGATGTAACAGCTGCATTAATCCAGGGATACCTGTAATTTTCTTTTGCTAGTTAACTGTAACCCCTTAACTGTCCAAACGTAGATCTATGTTCTCTAGCCCAGCACTCCAAATATTTTTTTTTTTTAATTAAGGAAGGCAATTTTCTGTGTGTAATAAGGCCAAAACAAAAAACATTTAGGGTCAGTACTTATTGAAATATAAGGCTGCAAAGTTGCCACTGGGTGCTCATCTGATGGCAACGTGTAGTTCTACTGCTTGCAGAAATGAGGGGTGTTAATGTTGCAGTTTAAAAACTGTAGTGTAAAGCACCCTTCTGGCAAGACAGTGATGGAGTGAATGATGGTGAAAGTTTTTCTTTTTCTGGCCACCCTGCCTTGGTGGGAATCGGCCAGTGTGATAATAATAAAAAAAATAATTTTTATGTTCTGATGGATTTATGAAGGATGAGGTTAATCATAGAATTGATGAGGAAAAAAGGTGAGTGGTGCATTGAGGTATATGTGGAGACAAAGAACGTTATCTATGGAGGCAAAGAAGGGAATGTATGAAAGTATAGTAATACCAACACTCTTATAATGGTGTGAAGCTTGGGTGGTAAATGCTGCAGCAATGAGATGGTTGGAGGCAGTGGAGATGTCTTGTCTCAGGGCCATGTGTGGTGTGAATATTATGCACAAAATTCGGAGTGTGGAAATTAGGAGAAGGTGTGGAGTTAATAAAAGTATTAATCAGAGGGCAGAAGAGGGGTTGTTGAGGTGGTTTGGTCATTTAGAGAGAATGGATCAAAGAAGAATGACATGGAGAGTATATAAATCTATAGGGGAAGGAAGGCGGGGTAGGGGTCGTCCTCGAAAAGGTTGGAGGGAGGGGGTAAAGGAGGTTTTGTGGGCGAGGGTCTTGGACTTCCAGCAACCGTGCATGAGCATGTTAGATAGGAGTGAATGGAGACGAATGGTATTTAGGACCTGACGAGCTGTTGGAGTGTGAGCAGGGTAATATTTAGTGAAGGGATTCAGGGAAACCGGTTATTTTATATAGCCGGACTTGAGTCCTCTAAATAGGAACTACAGTGCCTGCACTTTGGGATATTGGCAGTTTGGAGGGATATGTTGTGTATCTTTAAACGTATATGTGTACTTCTAAACTGTTGTATTCTGAGCACCTCTACAAAAACAGTGATTATGTGTGAGTGAGGTGAAAGTGTTGAATGATGATGAAAGTATTTTCTTTTTGGGGATTTTCTTTCTTTTTGGGTCACCCTGCCTCGGTGGGAGATGGCCGACTTGTTAAAAAAAAAAAATAAATAAATAAAATTTGTTCTAGGTAGTAGGTTGGTAGACAGCAACCGCCCAGGGAGGTACTACCGTCCTGCCAAGTGAGTGTAAAACAAAAGCCTGTAATTGTTTTATATGATGGTAGGATTGCTGGTGTCCTTTTTTTCTGTCTCATGAACTTGCAAGATTTCAGGTATGTCTTGCTACTTCTACTTACACTTAGGTCACACTACACACATGTACAAGCATATATATATACACACCCCTCTGAGTTTTGTGCTATTTTCTTTCTAGTTCTTGTTCTTGTTTATTTCCTCTTATCTCCATGGGGAAGTGGAACAGAATTCTTCCTCCGTTAGCCATGCGTTTTGTAAGAGGCGACTAAAATGCTGGGAGCAAGGGGCTAGTAACCCCTTCTCCTGTATAAATTACTAAATTTGAAAAGAGAAACTTTTGTTTTTCTTTTTGGGCCACCCTGCCTCAGTGGGATACGGCCGGTTTGTTGAAAGAAGAAGAAAGATGGTAGGATTGCTGGTGTCCTTTTTTCTGTCTCATGAACATCAAGATTTCGGGTACGTATTGCTACTTTTTGTTGCGACCCCTGAATGGGTCAAAATGTATATAATGTATATTACCTTTTCATATAATTTTATATTGCTTATACAGTGGACCCCCGGTTTACAATATTATTTCATTCCAGAAGTATGTTCCGGTGCCAGTACTGACCGAATTTGTTCCCATGAGGAATATTGTGAATTAGATTAGTCCATTTCAGACCCCCAAACATACACATACAAATGCACTTGCATAAATACACTTACATAATTGGTCACATTGGGAGCTGATCGTAAACCGGGGGTCCACTGGATTTGCGATAATACCTAAATCGTAAATATATTAACCATACCCCCAGCCGGGATTGAACCCGCGGTCATAGAGTCTCAAAACTCCAGCCCGTCGCGTTAACCACTAGACCAGCTAGCCACAATAAGATTCATCCAACTAGGTATATTTCTACACCATAGGAAGGTTAGCACAGGCACCACTGTGACCACAAATGCAAGTTTTTACAGACGAATCTCCAGCTAGCGTGGCCGTGACGAACTCTAGCTCAAGTCCCTTCACTGCCGTCAACATGACTCACGAAATCGTAATGACACGATTGCAAACAAACCATACCCCCGGGCCGGGATTGAACCGCGGTCATAGTCTAAAAAACTCCAGCCCGTCGCGTTAGCCACTAGACCAGCTAGCCACAATAAGATTCATCCAACTAGGTATATTTCTACACCATAGGAAGGTCTAGTGGCTAACGCGACGGGCTGGAGTTTTGAGACTCTATGACCGCGGGTTCAATCCCGGCCGGGGGTATGGTTTGTTTGCAATCGTGTCATTACGATTTCGTGAGTCGTAAATATATTGCTTTATATTATTATTTGACTTAGTTATATTATTAGGTAGGATGTAACATTTATATATATATTATTCAGTGCTCATAGTTCAAGTCTTGATTGTCTAACTACTGTAATTATCGCTCGTTTCCCTGCCGGCTTCTCGGTGTTGCTGGGCAGCAGCTGTCCACAGAGCAATCACGTGATCGAGGGGGGGTGTTCACACCTCGCCTGGAGTAGTCAGTCTGGGCTAGACTCTCTTGGTGGTTGGACGTATTCCTGACAAGACGTGCCTAACTCTCCCTTATTGGCCCTTGTTGGAAGATAGTCTCTGTCGCTTTCTTGTTGTTGGTTGTGTAGAACTCTGTTCACAGAACATTGCCTAGACTTAGTGATTTTCGACGTTGTACTGAGGTTGTCTCTCTCATACACTCTGAGAAACTCAGGTCCTGAGCTGTAGCTTCTGACCTAATTTGTACTGGTATCTGTGTACTGTCACAGTCGGGGATTTTCTTATGCTGAACTTAGATTCAGTAGTATGGGAGTTTTGTGACTTTTGTGGAGGATCTGCTGATGGTCTCTACTTAGTGTCGTTATATTATCTTGATCCTGATTCTGTGCCGCAGGTGCTTGTTATATTGCTATTGGGCTTAGCAGCCGTTTTATTGTTCAAGCAAGCTGTTCTGATTGCCAGGTGGTTAAGAAGTTAGTTGATGTGAGGACTTTGTCAGTCACTGGTTTAAGTCTAGTCGAGTCGTGAGACATAGTGAACTACTTAGAGCACTTACGCATATACACACAAACTTATTTGTACATATATATATATATGTATTATTAAATGTTAATGTACCAGACGGTACTTAAGACGTATAAATGTGATATGTGCCTTCAGCACAGTACTACTGTAAACGAGAGAAGTGTAGGAATTTGTATCCTATATTATATTCAATTGATTAATTTAATTTACTTTGATCTTATACCTCTAGACTTTGTTATTAATAAATTTATTAAATTTTAATTTCTCTAGTTAGTAGCCTACCAGTTGTAATCCTGAAGCACTAATAATTCTTATTGAATTCTAATGGATAATTGGACCAGGATACTGACTACTTGTTACAAAAACCCAGAAACGGGCTGGATGCTAGAAGGGCAGTCCTTTCTAGTATTCACTGGAGATCTCTAAGCTTATTAAAAGTCGCGTTTTTTTGCAACAAATGGGGGCCTGTCTGGGATGCTCTTGATCAAAGGTGTTGGAGAAATTGTCCAGTTTGACACACTAGTAACTATATGGTCAAACACTTCGAATACTTTCCTAATCTGAAGACTTTGAGTTTAGTCTTGTACAACATACTAGATGCATGTATGTACTTGACTGAGTCTCTTGATCCAAGGAGATGGAAATACTGTTTATGAGCTCTAGCTTTAAGACAACCAACTCTAAAATTCCTATTAGGATTATAGTTTCCCATAATCACTCACTCGTAGTACATTTATTTTCATGATGTATGTCAAAGTGAAACAGTTAA